AGGGCCTCCGCTTAAAGGGGCTCCGCTTTAAGCTTCGCCGGTGTGGCCCCTTTAAGCGGAGGCCCCGCCCCGCCGGCCCGGAGGTGCCCGAGGGGCCGGACCGAAAGTTTGGTTTCCTTATTGCATAAATACAGGTCCTTTGCCCACATGTGTTTCAGCAAATACCTGCAGAGCAGCTGTTTCTTTCTTGCCATGTATTTCATATAACTAGAAAAGCTAGCAGCGCCAACTTTGGATACACCTAGGTATTTTGGGGGTCAAGTGATACACACCTGATCCCAGTGCTTTCTCAGACTTCATAGTCAAGAGCATCTTTGTGTTCCAGCAGACTCAGGAGAAACTCACACGCTCAAGTTCCTCCCGAGCTAACTTTGGGCCTCACACTGGTGAAGTGCCATGGCCTCTCTCTTGCTCCACTGCCACAATGCCAGGAGCAACTGATTGACAGATCACAGGCTCCCATTGATCCACAGCATCCAGCATCTCCTCTGAGTGAGGCACAGTGACACACTGCTGCAACCAGTGACAAGCAGTTTAGCAGATCCCCAGAGGAAAAGAAGCCCTTGCAGAAAGCATAGCTGCAACATACTGCTCCAACTGTCTTACGTGATCTCTGCCCCGAGGATGAGGTTTGACAAGCTAGACAGATTCCCAGTAGATGACAAGACATGCTGCTGCATCATGTACTGGAAAGAAATCTTCCTGGGAGGACTGGAGGTATTGCTTCTCTGCACATGTACAGGTTGCAGAACACTAGCAATTAATTTCTATCCAAGGATAGCAAAATATTTTCCAGGGGTAAGTAACAGTATTATTCCCAAAGAAGAAAACTAAGACAGAGGAAGGTTACTTGGCTTTCTGAAGGTCACTGAGGAACGCTGTGGAAGATCCAAGAATAGAAGTGGTATCCCCCGGCCCCAGCCGCATGCTCCCAGACTGTAATCTAGCCTGTTACTAGATCACACTGCTGGAGCTATGCAAAATTCAGTGGTTTCACTTCCCAAGCATCTCATGTGATCACTTTGCTTTGACTTTGGTTCCTGTGGGTTTCTCACTCCTAGAGTTTTGATCTGCCCATTGGGTTCAAACCAAATCCAAATCTCAAACCTAGTCAAAGAAGGCAAGTTTCTTCTGTTCGCACTATAAAAACATGAAAAATACATTGCATAACATTTATGGTAAGCCCATATGCCTGCTCCAGCATTGCTTGAAGATCTCTTTAAATTCCTCATGGCCAGACCTGGAGCAGAAGGGAGGCAAGTGGCAAGCTCCCACGCAAGAACACACGGGATGGCGGAGACAGGGGGAGGGCAAGGGCTGTGAGGTGAACCAGGATCCCGGCTCACTTCCACAAAACCCACATGTTCCTGCCTGCTGCCGCCATGGGGAAGACATCCCTGGAGCCTTAGCTCTTGGTGTGCCACATCTTGTTTTCCCTCGGAGACATTCCTCTGTGGGAATCCTGACCAAACAGTACAATAGGGGAGACACGCAGGAAGGGTGAAAGCAATGCAGCGAGGATTAGTTTAATGTACAGACTCCCTCTAAGCTGTGTTTCCCGTTGTGCTCAGAGGACAATCTGATACCTGCAGCTTGTCCTGCCCAGGGTGCATCACTGACACTGTGAGATACGAGAACAGGAATGTGTGTGGGTGCAGAAGGCCTGAGCAAGCCTTCTCATAAGGGAAGAGATGCTATTTTCACTCTTTGAAGTCACCGGGGGATTTTATCTGCCCACCTCGCACACCGAACTGCTCTTCTCCTTCCCTTCCCTCGCGCTGCCCTGTGCCGAGATGCGGACGCTGGTCTGAACACCCCGATGTTGAAGGCAAAAACACCTGCGAATGAAGAGGTTCAAGTGCCATCTATTGGGGACCTGCCCTCATTACACTAAGGGAGACGAGGATGAGCTGGAAAAAAACCCCATCCATCCCCTCTGGCTTATGACCCTAAATGGATGATGTCTGAGACAGACACCGGAGCTACAGCCAGTGCCGGGCACGGAAAGAGCATCAGGCTGCCGAGGCAATGCTAAAAGCAAGGCAGAAGCAGGATGAAAGCTGAGCCTAGAGCTTGTTCAGAGGGAGATGTGGGGCCCAAAGCCAGGCACACCTTGAATGATGCCACAGAGCAGGGCCATACTCCAGCTGTCTCAGCCACAGTCCAGTGTATGCAGATAAAAGCAGGGCAGAAGGACAGTCCACAAAAATAATGAGAATTGTTCTCAGAGCAGTATAACTGACAAAACAGGCAAAGGGCACCAAGCTCCAGCCATCAGTCACTCATGGCGGGTACCACAGAGCATTTCTCCTCCTAGTGTGTGAATTGCTGAGCCCAAAAGCTCCTCCAGAAGGGATCATCTCTGACCTCTGTGCAATGTCTGCCCTGACACAGGCCAACTTAAGCCAAGTCCCCACCATACCAACTGTAAGCACCCTGTGGGCCAGCCGCAGGGATAAAGTTGCTGTGCACACAAGTGCTCTCCAAGCTCTGGCCGTGTGATCTTCATACCAAAAGCATGGGGCAGGCAGCTGGGAAACATCCCCCATGCGGTAACAAAGGAGCCCTACACTAAGCCTACAGGCACCCACCGCTACCTTAGCGGCTACAAACTGTCCCAGAACAGAGCCAGCTGCTGTCATGCAAACACTTTGGACGTTGAAGAGTATCAGGAAGGGCTAGTCAGAGACTACTGACACTAACAGATATCTGTTCTCTTTCAGATACATCTCTTCTAGTAATAATCTGAGTAGTAACTACCTAAGACACATGTTTTTGAAGATGCAATTTTTGACTGCCACAAAAAGAGGAAAATGAGCAGAAAAGAAACTGAAAAGTGTTCAGAAATTACTGATTCAGTAATTCAGTGTTCAGAAATTACTATTCCTACTATCTGATAGAGAAACAGTGATCATGCCAGCATAGGTTATGTGACAGCAGTAAGGGGAAGAGATTAATAACACTACTGGGCAGCCCCATCTGTTATAACTCCCTTCAGGGCTGGCCATTCTCTCCCTGAAAATTGCTAGGGCCAACTGGAAAGTCAGCATGTGGCTAATACAGCGAGAACCAGGGAGATTACCTGCAGAACTACCACAGCCATTTACACTGTGTTTGTCTAGCCGGTACTGCAGACATTTGTTCCTCTGCAAGTGGTCCTGCAAGGTGCCCCACAACACCCACTTGGTAATGGGCTACATGGGCAGCACTCACAGGGCCAGCAGTTTAGCTTGGCCAGACAGACACTCCAGGGTAGCAGGGCAGCCTGGATCCTCAGAAACACAAGCAAAGATCAATGATGATTTCTGGTTCAGATAGCTTTTTCCCCATAACCCCTGGAGAAGAGAAATCACCTCATCTCGCTAAAGGATCTCTGACCTTCTTTCCTTCAAATACAGTCACTACAATTCACTCACATCTCTTCTTTTTCATATGCCTTTATGATAACAGTCCTCAGTTGGGATCACACAGTGCTTCTGAGTCTTGCCATGTAGCTAGCAAGGAGCAGTCAATCCAGAGATGAAAGATGCACCCAGTCTATACATCCTACCCCAACAGAGGAGCCCAACAAACCCATCAGCTGCCACAGACTTCAGGTCTTTAGGTCAAAGGCAAGAAACCTCAAGCTACAATCAGGAAGGACAGCATCAGAGAGAAGGGGCCTGGGTTCCTGCAAAAGCTGGAAACTTCTTAAGCAAAAGTGCTAGGAAATGAGCGCACACAGGCTCTGCAGAGGAACAGAGAAAATATTATTGTGGTTGCTAGTTTGATGGGGGGAAATTCCTTTCTGGAACTTCCTGGCTACCCAGACAGCCTCTGGGCTTATCCCAAGTGAATAAATAAAATACAGCTTTCCACATCAAAGAGGTTTCCCCGTTCCTCTAGCTGGGCACCCCATCTAGATCTGTATTTGTGAGCAGTTTCAGTGCTTCTAAGGAAAGTGAAAAAAGAGCCAGGTCAGTATCACTGGGGTCAGAATTTCCAGGAAGAATTTCCAGCAGGTGCACATTTGAACTTGCTGCCTTGCAACTCATTCCTACCATGGGCACAGTGCATGGATGAGGAGAGCAACAGCCAGGCTGCACCCACACTGTACCCCAGCCATCAGATGATCAGAAAACACTGGTCAAGCAACAGTGATGTTTCACACTGCTGCTAGGACTCCTGTCAGCCTACCTGCACCCCACCTCCAACTGCTGCCAGGCTCCAGTTCATCAGCGGGGCGGGAAGACAGTCTGTGCATAAACCTGTGCTACTGAGCTGCTCGTAGCATGGCAGGGAGGGCTGGGGAGAGGAGCATGAGTACTGCCTGAGGCCTCTGCAGGAGTGACAGCAGAGCAGAATCCCTAGAGAAAGGCTTGGAAGTAAAATATACAACTCTTAAAATAACTGTAGAAATTAAAAGTGCTATAATGACCAAGGATTTGTGGCCACAAACCAGCCAGAAGCCAGCTGAAGGGGTTCAAGCATCCAGTAAAACTACACTTTGAGGAACTGAACAAGACAACCTGTCCTCAGAAGCTCAGATTGCTAGGTTGGCCCAGGAAGGAGCGACCTTAGAAGATTTTGTAATGAGAATAAATCACAAGCATGTCATTTACTCCTTGCTTTCCGAACTTC